GTGAAAATTGTTCAGACGTGATGACCGTTTGTACCTGAGTTCGGAACTATTCCCAGTATCTACGACACATCTTTTTCATTTGACAAAGGGATAAGGTGGAAATGCACGCTCACCAGTTGGTTTCTTCTTGTTATCTAATGTTTCGCAGAGAACGAGTTTGTTGGGACCAAGACGAAATGGATCGGGAAAAAGGGCCACCGGTTTCAGGTAGACGTCAGAATCGTCTCCTTGAGCTTGGCCAGTAGATGAGCCATCGAAATTCCATATTGGTAACTCTGAAATGCGATGAAATAGAATCCATATTGGCCTCCGGCTCAATGGAAGTGTTCCAGGAACCGTCGTTGTCATAGCTCATTAACCAATAGTGAATAGTGTTTACGTGAGAACAATATGAAAGCCTGTAGGCAGTGCGAAGGAAGAAAGAACCGACCAGGGTCTTATTGTTCACGAATATTTACAAAATCAAACATTCCGAACGTGCCTTCGAAATGTATCGTGATACTGAAAAAGAAGAAACGCGTTCTGCCCCCGCACCCTTCATGAATGCACTACAAAATTCCCCAGACAGTTTGATATAAGAGTTTCTGAATTGCTCTTCCACTGTCTGAAAGCAGTATTGAAGCCTGCAGTAATGATCTTCATTCAGTAGTAAAATATTCGAAAACCAACAAATCGAGGAGTTCAAAGCAAGGGTCGACTGCGGAGTTAGGCCAGCTTCGAGCAATGTGAAAACCTAAAAGCCCTCACTATACGTATCACAAAAAAACGTGATCCCACAGTCGACCTACCCCTCCCACTCCTTCTAAGAGATGAGAAAAATGTTTCAAAAAACTTCTGGGAGAGATCGAGACAAACGATAAACATAAAAAAGGACCGATTTGAAGAGGGGAATCCTAACTTTGTAAGCAGTTTAATTCCAGCTGCGCAATAGCTTGCACTTCCAGCCAAAGCTAGCTGGTCATGTGAAATTCGAGGCAATAGTGACCCGCGCTTACGAAAAAAGCAGTTCTAAGTTTCCTGGCAATAAAACGATTGGGGTAATTTTGTGGCACTCCAATTCATGCATATGACGATTCGAAACCATTGACTACTAGCTATTAGGGCCACGAAATTGAACGGGCAAGCTCTTTTTCAAGCATATTTCTCAGATGTAAAGACATTCGTGAGCTGTTACTCGGAGCAGATTTGTCGAGTTTTTCAAAATTATATGGATGAACTTACGGTCCGGAGATGTGGGCTCAAAGTCGAGTGTACGTGTTTTGGACCGCAAATTTTCTCCTGTACCGTCTATCCAGATGTACTTGGCCTGGACTTTGCCTTTTTGGTCGAGCCGGAAAAAGCGGTCTACGGTTGTTTTGTCAGTAGCGAATTGTGTTCGTATATTAGCCATCACTAAAAAGTTTTTGAAAATGTAGATAACATAACACAAGAACATACAAACAAAAGGAGGAACAAACCAGACATCTTGTGAAAGGTAGAAAGAGAAGGCTGCGGAAAGGTTTGAGAAAGATACGACGATCAAAGACATCATGGCGGGAAACGGTCGGGCAACTTGTCGATAAGGTGTCACCCACAATCAAGGAGAGTAATTTGGTCCAGTTTTTCGAGTTTCCCAGAAAAAATTTAAGATACTGGAAAAGAGCGTTACCAAGAGCTAAAGTAAGGTATTACTTGAAAGGTTCAGCATTCCAAGGAGAGGAACTTCCTTGAGGTTACCTACGAACTGGCGCGAAACAAAGTTTGACCAACACTGATCGAAGAAGTCTAGAGTAGTCCTCAAATTAATGCCAGCTAGGCGAAAGGGGACAATGTGGGTCTTCCACTCTGAGCGAAATTTTGCTAAGTGTTTGTTGTGGGTGCCTTCTCTGGAACCATTTTGAAAGCACTTTCTGAAGCTGGCAATTTACACTGATATCGATACAGGAGAGACGAGTATAAATTCAAGGTGGATTACTGAATCACAGCCGGCTGCAGCCAAATTAGAATGTCGCAGACAGTGGAAAACAAGTGGTGGGCGGAGGTGGATGATATCGCAACCCGTGAGCCGTTAAGTTTCAGTCTTGGACGGGTTTTGTTTGTAGGTTGTTTATGGCGACAAAGTCATGGTATACTTGGAAAAACGGTGAATCAAACATCGTTTCGTTGATCAGAGATCAGACCTCATCACATACGTTAGTGGCTGTGCATTTGATGGTGTCTGACCGTGAAGCCGATATGTCTACCCATGTCATTCATGCTACCGCTCGAAGATAGAATACACAACTATTTTCAGATCCCTTTCTGAACCTATTTCTATTTTCGAATTTTTTGAAGCTGCTAAAGCTCAGGTCGCACACGTTCATCAAAGTCGTTACTACGAGGTGCAGAATGCTTATTGCATTCTATTCAATACAATTACTTTAATGGTAACTCAAAAGTACAAAACTTTAATTGATACCTAGCCTATCAAAAAGCTTTTTTATAATAAACTAATTCGAGAGGGATGATCGTAATGTCCCCCAAAGAAATGATGCAAGTTACGTTCGGTG